AGAGAGAGAGAGAGAGAAACACCAAGAGAAGCAGGGTAGTATCCCAGTAGCTTGTGAAATGGCAGAATGGAATGTGGGCTCCCCTGTAAAGCCAGCTTGCATGCACTTGCCCCAAATTGCCACTTGGCCTAGAAGCTAATTAGAAAAAGCATCAGGTGGGGTGAAAGCAGGTTCACAGCCTGTAATGGCTTATATCATCTTTCATTTTTGCCCTTGGATAAATGTGATAGTCAGCTTGAAGACATTCAGTTCTAGGGACCGAACCTGCTACATTCTGAGGTTGTTTTCAGATCTTCTCTTCAACATATATTACAAGGCATTTTGCTGTATAGAACTAAATATGCAGGATCCACAAGCCTGTGTGCTATGTGTGTACCTTTATTCACAACCTCAGTTCAGGTGACACTTAAGTTCAGCCCTTTTTAATATTATATGACTAAGTGGCACCTGTCTTAAATACTCAGTGTGTTATAGACAGGTTTATTTGTAAATTCTACCATAAAAGCCATCCAGTCCTAGAGAAGGGGAGGTGACAGACCATAGGTGTCCCCCCTTAGTGAGAGTAGCCATGACAGGCACTTGTTTCCTCTGCTTCTTTGCCAGAACTCTCAGAAAGGGGAAGTTCTGCTTTTCACCTGCTCAATCCCTCTTACCCCAATTATGGTCTAGGTGGAAAATGAATTCTCTCTTTTCTGGACTCTCTCTTCTTTCTCTCCATTATAACACTGATCACAGCATATTTTCCATAGGCCATTTAGTGAGCACTTACTAGAAAGAGACACTGTGCTAGGGAGGGAATAAAAAGAAAAAGAAGAAAAGAAACACAGGAAAAAAACAAGAAAAGAGTCCAGTCCTTCAGGAGTGGCCAGGCAAGCAAAGGAGGCACAATGCAATGAAAAAACAAGAGTTCTGAGCTCATAGCTTTGGCAATATGGAAGACTCTACACTCCCCCAAAAAAGCTTCCTGTAGGGAAAAAACCTTTGAGCTTAGTAGAAGACATGGAATCTGGTAACAAACTTGATGTCAAAGAGAGGTTGAGATGTATCTTTGGGAGTCATTAGTATATTGGTGACAGCTAAGGTCCTAAGAGGGGGCTGGACCTTACAGAGTAGAATGAGAATAGAATCAAGGATAAAACTATGGATGAAACCCTGAAAAAATGATCATGCAAGTATCAGGCACTTTCCAAATGTGCTGAGAGGAATTTCTTTATTGACTCTACAGCTTTTCTGTAGAATATAGACCCTGGACTACTGCATTGCTTCAGAGACAGAAGTCCCAGCTGCAATGCAAAGAGAGAAAAAAAATTTAATTCTCACCAGTTATGCTTCTAAGTGCTCAGACAGAAATCACAGTAATGGGTTGAACCAGAAATTGAAGTGGAAATCACTAGATGGTGACATCATATGGGGCATGGGCTGCCTGTGTGATTTTTTACTATATGTGTCCCAATACCTAAAACATTAATTGATACAAAGTGTACTTAATACTTGCACATCGAGTGAATAACAAATCCCCAAAGACATTGCTAAAGGCAGCATCAGAAGAAGAGGAATAAAAGACATGGGATAACAATATTACCTTTAGTTTCTCAGCCTTCTTTCTAAGCAGCCAAAAGCCCCTTCCCTCCCGTTCTTCTCAGCAGTTCTGTGCAGAAATAAAGGCACATGTGATCAATTCCATTTAACAACTGGAGAAGCTCAAATCTGGAAGAGATAGATAACAATAACTAATTTCACCACAGTTTCACTATTGTTCATCAGTACAGTCAGGATGAGAAACCTGGTCTTGTAACTTCTTGTCCTATTTTGTTATAAGACAAAACCCTCCACAGATTACTTCTCTCACAAGAGAGAAAATTCACAAGAGAAATTCATTCCAAAAGCAACCTCCAGCTGGGGATTTAGCTCAGTGTTTCCATCATCTGCCTCGAAAGCACAAGGACAGGAGTTCGATGCCCGGTACAAAAAAGAAAGAAAAGAAAAGAATCCAAAAGCAAACTCCCTCAGCATTCCTACAGGATCTTGAACAAGTGAGTGTACAGCACCTAGAAAAAAAATACCAAAGACATCTTTCAAGCTAACTTTGGGATGGCTAAATGTGATTCCCAGGGGTGCTCTGGTAACATAATAGGACACTTCTTATTTTGCTATACCCCTTTTTTAGGGAGTTCCATCTACCTTTAGCCTGAGTTTTGTGTCTGACTGGGGCTCAGATGCTGACTGCAGGTGTGGCATCCAGCAGGTGCATGGACAGGAGCCAACATTTCATATCTTCATGCCAAAGGGTTTGAGTCACCCTCCCGAGGCAGAAGCAGCTCCTCCTCCTCCTGCTGCTGATTTTGGAGCACCTGCAGCCTGGCTTGATTGAGTTGCAACTGCAAAACTGAATGGAGATCCTGCCTCCCAAAAAGAACTTCAGTGAGATCAATGAAGCCACAAATCATATAACCAGCCAACTTTCCCATTAGCAGAAACTAATATAGGCACACACCATGAAAATGCATTAGCAAGCATATGTACGGAATGACCATCCTATACAAGTTACGGAACAAAGGAAGATCACCAGCAGACCCATATTATATTGTACGGAAGAGCAGCTACTCTGTTACTAACGGCCCTGAAACCTCAGGAGCTAATACTCTTCCCCCTAAAAATGATGAGTAGAGTAGAAAGAATCTGCTAGGAATCCTGTGATCTTATTTGTACCATAACCCCTCTTCTTTAGGTTACCAAGGGAGAAGTTCAGAGCCTGATCACAAAACACACCATGTCAGAAAGCTCATCACATCCCCCTAACCAAAACTAACTGGCAGACTGAGGAGCACAGAATGCTCCTGGAGGTAGAGGAGGTCATCAGTATTTCCTTAACTCCAAAAAACATTTTCTTTTTAAAAACAATCTACCTTCATTCCAAGCGCAAGGACCCGAGTTCGATCCCTGGTACAAAAGAAAAAAATAATGTACCTTTTCCAGATCCCTCTCTTCCACTACTCTCCCACATAGAGCAAAGAGAAAGTAATTGTAGAAGGAAAGAAAATCAAATATTACCTTAATAAAATTGTTTATTATGATTATTTCTCCAATTCTCAAAGGAAAAAAATTTAATATGCTTTGGTTTATGGCCTATGGTCCCTAAAGTAAAACTGGCTACTAAACTAAAATGTGATCATTGTATTTAAGTGGAGTAAAGCAAAAATCTGAACTAAAAAAACTAAACATCATAAAGAGGAAATCAGATTCCTTCAAAATAGGCAAACTAAATAATTTTCCCCATCTGTGATTTTTATCTTCATTTGCTATCACACGGAAAAATGTCACTAATTCAGTGTAAATCTATGCCTCTTGAAAAGGATCAAAATGAATAAAGGATTCACTAATTAGCTTCCTAATGGGGAAGGTTTTAATTGAACTATTCTATAACAACTTTCATCCAAGTTTCCAGGGCAACTTCATAAAAGGATGTCAAACCTGGCCCATATTCTTATCCCCTTAAAAATAATTCTCAATACACAGAGACACAGAAAGCAGATTTCTCTTCAATACTGTTAGCACTCAGGCCACTACATTTTCTGATGTCAGCAATCCCCTTCCCACAAATATTCCAAGTATGCACCACCATCATTCTCCTTTCAATTATGTGGTTTCTCTGCTCCTTTACTGATTGAGTCCAGGCCTCTTGGATAATGAGAAGCATGTGCAGGAAAAATATGCTCTTAAAAACACATACATCAGTTTCATCTGCATTAAAAAGGGGGAGAGTGAATCATTTGTCCATATCAAAAGGATAAAAATGTAAAGTTTGCTATGAGACATTACAAAGGGGAAAAAAAGATCTGCATCAATGCCCAAAGGAGGGGACAGTTATTGTGATCTGAAGCAACACCAGTAAGACTAAAGGAGCCCCACACACACAAAAAAAAAATTCACCCTTTCTAGTTTGGCAACATCTATATTTAATGTTATCTTAATGTTGCCTTGGGGGGTTCTGACATACCCATGGAAATGAGCCACGAATTATACAGCAAGCATAAATATTCCAGCATTAATAAAAACCAGCTGTGAAAAAACACTACAATGGCTGGATTTCAGTTACTGGCTATCATCAGTATTTGTCACAGGCAAATATTACTCAAAACTTTCTCCATTAAAATGTCCACGGAAGGCCAGGGATTTAGCTCAGTGGTTCCACCGCCTGCCTCACAAACGTAAGGTCCCAAATTCGATCCCCTGTACAAAAACAAAAAACCAAAAAAAAAAAAACATACGCAGAAGTTTGCTTTGCTCTTTAACATTCTGGAAGAGCTTTGAAGAGCACAATGACCACTGATTCACTATCATGCATTCCAGCTGATGTCTTTTCTTGAAGCTTTTTTTTTATCACCCTGGCTGTCACTAGCATCTCTTATTTGCACCACAGATTACCACAGAGTATGAAAATGTTTAATTGTTTTTCAAAAAGCTGAGAGGGTCAATAATACAAATCTGGGACCAATCTCAATTATAACCAGTAAGGCAATGGAGTACCAAAGGGCACTGAATGCTATAAGAGAGCAAAGCTCATTAGAAGTGAACACCTGCTCGGGACCCTGTAATAAGCCCGCTCTGCCACCATGCAAACACCTTTCATCCAATGACCTCAAAGCATGTGCCCAAAATGAAGCATGCCTAAACACCTCTGTGAAGTATTAATATCCTTGCTTCCCAGAAGGGTAACTGGAGCTTAGAGCAGCAAATTCATGTACCCTTGATCACATGGCAAGTCAGAAAGGGACTGAGCAGAGAAATCCAAATCCTGGCTTCAAGTAATACAAGCTAATGTCATTTCATGGAATTGGGGCAATAGTGAAAGTGAATTCACAAATATGTAGGCGAGCCTATTGAATTTTGAAAAGAGTATATTTTTCAAGTACTGCTTGAGGATGTATTAGCAAATAGATCTATTTGTATTTACCCATGAACATTTACTACAAAAAATACTCCTCCACTTCATTTGGCACTTCATAAATAGCAAGGACTGTATCTTGGCCAGCTTGGGCTACATAGTGAATTCAAGTCTAGCCTGAACTGCATAGCGAGACCCTGTCTTGTTAAACAAACAAACAAACAAAAAAAGAAAAAACAAAACACTGAATCTCACTTTTCTATTCTGGATAAAAAAAATTATTTGATTTATGCTGAGCCATTGGTTACCAAGAATGAATCCATCAAATATTGGAGATCCCATATATGCTATTACTTATTCTCAGAGGAAAATTAAAAGTCCATGGAACTAAACTTTCACTACAACATGAAGTCCTCAAATGAAGTTCCCATTGTGTGGGAGACACTAAACTATACCTACATGTCTTTTATTTGTCTACAATCTTTAGTTTCCTCATAATTTTTCAGTCTTATTTAAACATATTAGTTTTATAGTGCACGTTTGTATTACAGAACCCTGAAGTTTGTTTTGGGAAACTGATACGTGCATACAGCATATCTTGATTATTTTCAATCTTTTTACCCCCATCTCCCTTTCCACCTGATCCCCTCTCCATGACTTCAGTATATTATTTTCAAAGCTGCAAAACAAGCATATCTGTGCTTTCTCACTTCTCCTTTTCCCTTCTGGAGATTTCACACTCTACCTAAATTTGTACTGTCTTAATGGGATATCATGATACAGTGATTTAAGAATCACTGTCAACAATTTAGACAGAGTAAACAGTGGGCTCCTAGTTTGCTTTTTGTTTTGTTTTATCATTTAAAATGAATGGGGAGGTAAGAGGTGGTCAAAAGAATAGAATTAGCAGCCTTGCTAGGTACATAAACAACGCCATCACAGAAAGTGTCTAGGGATTACTTACTAAGTCTATTAGTCTCTCCTGGGTCCAAGAAACAAATGGGATTCTTCATGAATATTCATTCAGGTTTCTCCTCACAGGCTTAAAAAGCTATTTCTTAGGTGAGCTCTTATTTAAATGCAACATCCTATGGCTTTTGCTATATAAAATTCATATGAGTATAGTAACAAAGACTTAAAAGAAACTGAGAAAAATGAAAGTAGGTGATCTGTTAGGACAATGGGATTCCTGATAGTTTTGGACAGGGTCTTGGTTTTTTAATTTCATGTTGTTAAAATATAAAACACAATGCAGGGCTGGGGATTTAGCTCAGTGGTTCTGCTGCCTGCCTCTCAAGCACAAGGATCAGAGTTCAATCCCCAGTATCAAAACAAAAAAAAAAACACAATTCATTTATACTGAATTGTCCTTACAGTCTCTTTAAAAAAAAAAAAAAAGGACAACTATATGACTATATTTCTAACAACCGATGCAACTCATTCTAATAACAATCATTTACATTTACACAAGATACTGAAGTTTAGAAAGAGAACTACAAGTTTTTAAGAACTGCTTCTCAAAATCATCCCGTTGGACATCTACAAAGTACCTTAGAGAAAACTTGCCAAGGATGGTAAGCAAGGTTAGAGCAGGGTCTAGAGCATAGGTCCCTCTTACCAATAGGCTCACTAGAGAAAGCTTACCATAGATTCTTAGATTTAAAATGGCATCAGTTGCCATATTTACTAGAAACAATTTTCTGAATCACTGGGTCAAATACAACAACTGGAAATAAAAGCTTTTACTTAAATGAGGTGGCTAGTCTCATCCTTACTTATTTAAAATCCAGGAAGTTTGATTTATTTCCAGAAAGTATTGCTAGCTCCCTTCTACAGGCACTTGTGGGCCAGTGCTACTGTGGCCAGTATTATTACATGCTAGAATAACTTAGACAATTAACTCCATCTCACATAACAAAAAGACTTCAAAAACCAAATAACGACCTCTTTTAATTCAAGCAGTAATCATTACAACAAACTCTAACATTTTCCTTTACACAGTAAATATGTTCCTGACAAGGCCTAGTTGTAGTGATTTTTTTATATATCATAGTTTAAAGGCGTTAACTAGGAAAGCTAGTTCTTTAAAAAAAAAATGGTACGGATCCTTTTATAAAGCAAACCACCTCTTACTTTGTTTCTCTTTTCTTGTTCAGTTGTGTGTGTGTGTATGTGTGTGTGTGTGTGTGTGTGTGTGTGTAAGGGGCAACTTTCTTCCTTCCTTTGGATTAAATAGGGTCAGAAGCCCACCATGGAGGAGAGTGATGCAGTATGGCCAGCCTATTTAATGCCCCCTTAGTCCCTGGAACCAATTTCTAACCTTTGACTTGGAGGTGGGACCCTAGAATTTGGACCAATGTCCACAAAAGGCAACAAGAAATGAAAAGTAAGTAAGACTAAAGACAACATATCATAATAAAACACAAACAAAAATTCCTGGAGACAATAAATCAGTGGATCACAATTCTAAACAAATTGGTTTAGCCCCCAGCTAATTAACTTGTCAAGCAGATCTCTAAACCCACTGAATCCATGGGAGAAAGAGGTGATGTAATAGGAGATTTGGAAACATTTTACCCATTTATTATCCTAAAAGGCTCAGCCACGACCACACACACACCTCTCTTCACCCTTTTAGTGGGTTTTAGCTGGGCTTACTGGGTGCAAAGGACAATTTCTACCAGACAGCCCCTAAGAATAGACTGCTCTCATGCATTTCAAATGCTCAGTCTCCATGGAGGAGGCTACCTGGTCACAAGCATTTCCCAAGAGGGGATATATCCTCTACTCCTCTTCCTTGGTAACACCCCCCCCACACACACACACCATGTTACCCCAAACAAAACAACTTCTAACCACCCTGAGAAACTTGGGGGACTTTTCTGGGGTAAAGGAAAAGAATAATTGGAGGGGGGCAAGAGTGTGAGAAATTCCTCTTATCTCTAAATGGAAAAAGGGCCTTAAAAAGCTGGATCAAAGGAAGAAAGGGGCGTGGGGGTGAAGGGCTGCTTAATTACAAAGACACCCTTTAAAAGAAGGCACAGGCCCCAGGAGAGGGCTCTTAGGAGAGGCCCAGAAGCAGATGTACGCACTTAGGATTCCGGCACTCAATGGGACCTCAAAATCAGAGCATCCATCTCTCTTCTGTCCCATTAGAAGATTCTTTATGCATTCTGGAAAGAGTCAGCTTCATTCTTTACAAGACTTTAGAAAAAACAACTCCACAAAATGCCTTAGTTATGCATTAGTCTAATAAATGCAACTTTATAAACAAAAAATGAGATTTTAACTTCCAAATCCCAAACAATATTGAATATGAATTATCAAAATCTCTTTCTAAAATGTTTTAATATAAGCAGGTCCACAAAGATCACATAAAATTACTGTACAAACAAATGTGATCACAGGTTCACTTCACACCTAGATTATGAACTTAGAAAAATGTACTTCCAATTTTTCAGAGGCACAAACTTTTCCAAAGAAAGAAGTAGCTTGAAATAAAGTATGATGTAGCACGAGAAAATGTCTGTAAATGACACCGGATAAAGCCATGCAGAATTGCTGGAACCTGAGTTATCATCTGTAAATAGATGCAACTACTCTACAACCACCTGGCTATTAAAATGTCCCAGGCCAGTTATAAAATGTAGTTTCATCAGGCCAGCTTTTCCCTCCCAGCTGATCTGAAACATGATAGCCTTTAAAATTGTTGCCATGTAAAATAAAGTTCCTTCTCTACCTTCCTGCTTTCTCCTTTACCCCATTAAAATCAACCAAAGACATTATTTTAAACTAGAAGTAAATAATTTACTCCCAAATAAACAACGGGTTGGGATGTCTCAGTATCCGGTCTTCCAACACTACCATTCTTATAAATTTGACGCACTTGTTCAACGGAAGATAGGTGGGAGATGGGTGAAAACTTATCCTATGTCCAAAATAGCATTTCAGACTATTCTTAGGTACTGAAAGATCTAACTGAGGAGCCTTCACAAAAGCTGGCCTGAGAAAGAACTTTTCACAAAGCCTAGCTCAAGGAGACTTAAATGCCCTTAGCCCTTCATCATTGAAGATTATGGTGGCTAATTATCTTCCTCAATGAATAAGAGATTATATTCTTAAGTTTTAAACTGCCTCCCAACATCTACTCTTCACGGTCAGGAGAGAGGAGAACTGAACTAAACACCTGAAGTTATCCAAAAATTCTTTCTATAAGAAATACTGTAAATTCAAAATACTCTTTCAAAGTTTCACTTTCCACTCTCATTAGTTTGTATGCACTGTCCTTTTGCAAATTATTAGTATAAAATTATGAGTGGCAATTTACCAGGGATTGCTCACAGTCTTTAAGACTGTTATTTTCCCTCCCATGGTTTCTTTTCCTTTTGATTTATCCACAAGATCCATCTTACTGTTCAAGCAGTAACTTACAGTGGCACAGCCTTGGACCCTCTGAACACCTGCCTGACCCGCCAAAATACTTGTGCCTTGGATTTATAAAGCAATTGAGGGCACCCCCCTCCTCGCTACCACACCATCACACAAGCAAAGAGTAGTGCTATGTTGTAGATTACTCCCAGATTTTAAAATCTGAAGAATGCATACATGGCCCCCGGGTCAGGGAGGGTGAGTCTCCAAAGCACTTAGGAGAAAGCCATCTAGTTATCTAAGATAAGCAGAAGCATTCATTCCTGGTTGGCTAAAGGTAAAACTCAGCTTGCCTCAGGTCTTTAGTTTCTCACATGACTAATCACCTACACCTAGAGACCCACAGGAGACCCCAGGAGTTCAGGAAGGTAAAGGTATCACCAAATAGTGGTACCCTCTAGCATCTCCTCGCTGAAGTAGGACGAAAGAGGCACACACTAATTAATTTAACTAGCTACACATTCCAGAAAACTCACGGCCAGCTGCAGAAAGTAGAACACAGTCATCCCCACACATATCTAGACCGATTCACGCTGAGGGCACGACCAAGTTCATGCCACCACAGATTCCTGCCCAAGTTCCCCACGAAAAGTAACTACGAGTCTCCTACCCCTGCAGGCAACGAAGACAAGGTGACGACTCTGCTTGCTCAAGTGGCTTTGGTCCCCGGTCCGGGCCAGCGGCCAGGGATGGGCAGGGGGAAGCCCCAATTCCCGGCTGCTCCCCTCCTCGCTCCTCCGTCCGGGCTCTTCTTGGTGGCAGTGGACAGACAGGATACCGGGCCAGAGGGTGGAGCAGTGGACTGTGGGAGGCGAGAGAGACTGGAGGTAGTGGTAGTGTGGGGGAGGCGGGGAGAACTAAGGGAAGAGGGGGCGAAAGGAAAGAGAGCGGAGATGGAGGAGTAATTCAGGGGTCTACCAGTTTAGGCAGCCTGAAAGCTCCTCGGAAGGAAGGGGCGTGACTGCGATGAAGGCAGCTCTAGGGCAAAGGATGGGAGGTAGAGGGGGAGGAACGGGTGGCTTTTCTTCTAGCTGAGAGCGGCTAGGACCGCCCAGGAGTTGGGGGGTGGACTCTGAGGGAGGCGGAGCGGAGGGCGGGGAAAGAAGGGCGGGAGCCTGCCTGGGCTCCCGTTGGGGGGTGAGGGTGGGGTGGGCTGGGCTCAGGCGAGGAAGAGTAGCGGGGCCTGGGGGCTGGGAAGTTTCAAACAATTAAACGGCAGGGTCCTGGAGCTCGGCAAAGGTGGAGTATCCTCGCCTTTGACTTGGTTAGGGTAGCCCACAGAGTCTACCCAGGAACTGTTCTGGAGGAAGGAAAGTACTCTGCAAAGACTACAATAATAACCTATGGCAACAGCGCAGTAGAGCCGCGTGGGAGAGCCATTGCAGCTCCCCGCCCCGCAGCGGGAGGAAGAAAAACAAATAATAGAAATGCTGAAAAGCAGCTTCTACCAAAGCTAGTTAAAATAATTCAGGAAGGAGCAGTGCTCCTTCGTTTTCCTTCCCCTCCTGCTTCCTATTACTAGCAGGCTCCCACCCAGGTCACAACTCTGGGGAGACACCCTCCGTTTTTCCTTTGCTCCCTGTGACCTCCCCTCCTTCCCTCTTCTCCCTCAGGCTTCCCCGCCTTCTCCCGCCCCTGCACTGGAGGACCGGGAAGAGATGGGAGGGGCTTTAAGGAGGCCCCGCCTCTTAGGCAGACTGGGAGCACAAGGCCTAGGAGGAGTGGACCTTGAAGTGTGAGTTCCACCCACCTATCATTATTTTACAGCTCCTCCTTGGCCAGGCCTGGCCTGAGATTCCTTATGATTGGTCCTTTGACCTGCCAATCCGATCCTTTTGTCCCTCCCACTCTCAAAATTAATAAAGCTAAACAAGAGGCTATTGTCTACGCCTCTCTGTTCTCCCCCAGGTACTGCTGGGAATAGAAAGATGAGACGCTTCATTTCTCAGTCTCTTAAGAGTATGCCAGTGTGTCGGCTTACGCTGGTACACCTTCATATTTATTGCATTGTCCAGCCCTCTGGGAATAGATAATTTTTCCACCTTAATGCATTAAACCAGGAGAAAAAAGTACCTGAAGTATCAATGTGGTACTCACATTTCTTGGATGCGAAAAATGATATTGGTTAAGAACCCAGAGAGTTAACTACAACAGCATCCTGGAACACAGAAAATCTACCATTTTACATTTGGGAAATCGACAGCACAGAGAAACACTGTAGGGATAGCAAAATAACATGGAATTTGGGACCAAAGGAAGAATTCATTGTGGGCTCTGGCGTTTATTAGCTATTTGTGTGACTTTTAAGTGGCTTAACTTTTGAGTCTTAATTTTCCTAAATGTAAATAAATGCTATGAGACATGCCCTATTGATGACACTGGTGTGAAAATAAAATGAAATGTGAGACTAGAAACCACCAAGCACTCCACACATGTATGTGTTTCTACTTGTGTATGGCACATGGTGGACAGTCTCACGTGTTTGAGGCTCAAATAGTCTGCTCGTCTGTTTTAAGGATTTATATCTAAGGTAGTATAGCTTCTGTAGCTTTATTTTAAAAAGTCAACTCTTCTTACAAATTTGGGAGTGGATGTTAATTTGGCTCCCTGCAGATAGAATAGTAAATTACCCCTTTTCTAACTAGGGTGGATAAGATTTTTTTCATTTTTAAACAGTTCTGCTATTGTGCCTTGACCTAAATCTATTGTGGTGCTGGTACTCAAAGAGGAAATCATGTTGTATATCTCTGATTTGAATTTGAGAAAACAAATATGAGGAAACATTTACCATTGAAACCACCATTCTCTACAGATCTATATTTCCTAAAAAAACTTTTCAAGTGGGAAGCAAGTCTGAATGTATAGGCCTTCACAACACAAAGCCATTATAATAAACTCACAGTAATGAAGGACTGACATCCAATTCAGTCTGTCTATTGGGAGCCTTCTGAGAGGTTATGGATCAAGGCATGCTAAAGGAAGTGTCCTGAAAGGAAACATGATCTCATAGTGAGCAGAGTCTCAGAATATCCTTCTGGATGCAGAAAAAGAACTGGGCAGATGTCGTGAAGAGGAATGCGTTCTGCTAGGGGTCGCTGATTCGCAAGCAGGACCATTAGCAAAATGAATTCTTGGTACAATTCTGTTTATGCATGAAATGAGGTAAACTTGGTGATTTTTTTTCATTACCATGGTGAGTCTATGAGTATTTGAGTCAGGAAGACAGCTGGTTTGTGAGTAGAGCATATACCAGTCTTATGGAGGTGGAGGGAGAGCTAGATTGAGTGGTTCTAGAGAGTTACTACTAGAGTGGCAACAGGATAATTGCTAAACTTAACAATGTTGTTAAAATGGAAAGAGAAAAATATGCACATGGTAAAACTAAAGTCAAAGAGTACTAAGAGGATACACAGTGTCAAGTTCCTCTCTACCACCCTGCTTTTCTTCCTGTCCGTTACATGTGGGATCGGCACTCACAGTAAATCTTGCATTTCTTTACTCATCAATGTGTCTTAAATATCCTTCTGTCTCAGGATAACTACCCAAAGTGGATTAACTAACAAACAACCTGTATCACAAAGCTAAACTGAATCAGCATGATATGGGCATGGAAGATCCACCTGAGGATTGTTGCCCATGACCATAAAAAGAGAACTAGAGGGGAAGATTGTAGGCTATTGATTTTCTAAGAGAAGTTTGCTGTGCTGTGCGTAGTTTTCCTGATGCAAACTTGGCTGTTCTAGGCGGAGGAGGAGCTCAGGGTGGGAATGGCTGCTGTTCTCAGGGAACCTCTGATCTTCACCATGAGTATCACTTCCTGGCTCCAATGTAGATTCCTCAGCCTGGTGTCACAAAACATTCATCCCAATGGCATAGATTCTGTGCTTGTTTCAGCAGCACATATACCAACGGTGTAGTATCTGGCTTCTGTCATCCAGGTGCAGATGCTCAATACGGACAAGCATGAGACATTGCTATGGGCTCTAGGCCACTGGCTGGACTTATGGAGGACATTGTCTTGGACTCTAAGTCTTTAGCTGGACTTATGTGGTACATTGCTGTGGGATCTAGGCCCTTGGCTGGGTGCTTCAGGTCTAGCATGTGGCTAATCTCTTGCACTCCCCTGTATTTGACTTTTTCAGTAAATATCATAAAAGAATCCTGTAAATTATATGTCCTGTATTAAAATGCATTCCTTTGCCAAAACCCTGACTACAACACTACCTTTAATATGATAGCCAAGTATCCCATTACAAAGGCGTACAAAAATTATTTTACTCATTCCCCTATTAAGAGGAGATTTAGGCCATTACCAATCATGTGCCTATGCTGAAGATACTAGGAAAAGAAAATCATGGTAGTAAAAGCCTGGTGGGTTTGTAATATGTCTGTCCCCACCTTGAAGTTGCTTTCTCAAAGATTTTTTTCAACATGTCTTCCCACAACTACTGAAAACCTCTAAAACACAGCTCTTTCAATCCACTTCTTAAACACTGCTTTTGGCATGACTATTTTTCAAACTTGAATTTTGATGGAGTAAAGTTAGGAGAGCTCTGAATTTAAGGGTGAATGAGGCGATGTGTGAGTCACTTCTTAGCCTGTAGTAAATAAGTTTTCTGGTACCTCTGCTTTACCAAGGTCTTCCAAGCTTCTTAGGTATTCCCTTTCTCTTGCCATGCAAGAGTTCCTCCATGTTTTTACCCTGAAAATCATTCAGTTTGTTTAAACTGAGTTTGAATTTAAAGCTATGTATTACTGCTCTACTTAAAATGGAGGGGGAAGGGGAGGCCAACATCAACAAACTTCATTGAACTGCTATTGTAGGCAGGACTGTAAAAACAAAGACTGTCTGAGACTTGGCACCTGCCTTCCAGGACATATACTTAAAGGGCCAACTAACAAGCATATGCTAAGTGCTAAGTGAATGGTATTGACAGTAAAAGCTGTGGAAGTTAAGAGAAAGGAGTGAAAACTAATTCCAGAGAGTGAGTTTATACAGTAAACTATGCCACACACATTTAACTAATCCCCATAGCATCCCCATGTCCTCATATCCTGACTATAAAATATGGAAAGCCCTCTGGGGGATACAAGAAGAATTAACCACTAGCTGTAAAACACCTGTGTGGACACTGGGCTGCCTAAGTACTGCATATTTAAAACCTTCATGTAGCGATATGGGAATAAAGGATCATTTTTAAGCTTAGAACTCAAGAATCTCCATCCCAAATTAACTGTGCTGTTTGATCTTTTTTTTTCCAAAAAAAGAAGCCCGTCTTCAATATCAACAAAAATCATTATCTCTCTGCTTCAAAAAATAAAGTCTTATAAAAAGTAGGCTGAATACAAATGCCTGCAATCCTAGATAATCAGGAGGCTGAGACAGGAGCAACATAAGTTTGAGGTCAGCCTACACAATTTAGGAAGACCGGGTCTCAAAATAAAATTAAATAAAAGGAGTTGAGGATGTAGCTCAGCACTCCCTGGATTCAATCCCCAATACCAGTGTGTGTGTGGGTGGGGGGCTATCTTGAAAAAACACATAAAATGAAATAAATAAGATACAAAAGGACACATGTATCATTCAACTTATATGAGGGACCTAGAATAGGCAAATTCAGAGACAGAAAATAGGGTAGTAGTGATCAAGGGCTGAAAGAAGGGTTATGGGAAGATAGTAGGGACAGTTTGGGATAATGAAGAAGTTTAAAAATAGACAGTGGAGATGGTCCTTAAAGTCAATACCAGTGATAAGAGCTGCCAAGAAAGAGAAGTTAGGACCCAAGACCCTACCACTTGGCAAGGTAGCCATGTAGCCACAACTTACCATTTGTTAATAGAACCTAGAAATCAAATGTAAAATGTTCTAGGTTTTTCTTTTCCCAGTTTTTAATTTTGGTGACTATTGCCTTAGTAATAGTCTGCCCTTTGTGTCCAAATTTTTTACCCAACATACAGGCGAAATAGAAAGGAGAATGTGATTTCTATCTATCTCCCACTTCCTGGCTAGATTCTTCATGAAGGAAGGATCATAAAACCATAATTCTCTTCATTGAA